TTTGGATGAACCACTCAGCTCGAAATTGGAATCTTGGAGCTCGGCGATTCGGTCCCGAAGATCATGTTTGGTTTTCCTGGCAAGCTCCCTGGTTTCACGAAGTTGGGATCTGGTCGCTTCCAGGGTTCCAAGGTGAGGAACCAGTTTCTCGAGGGTTGCAGTTTTTGCTTCATTCCTAAGATGGATTCTCTGCATTGCAAATTCATCTCTATTTAGTAAAGTGGCCGACAGGATGAGTAAAGCTATGTGCAAAGAGACATACATTTACAAGACGAGTGGCCTGATTGAGCGTCTTTGCAAGCAAAGACCCTTCCTCGTCTTCTTTCTGCTTATTTATTACAATCCCTTGTGGCTGCATTTCGTCATCCCACCATTTGACTAAGATAGGTGGGCGAGAATCTTCAGCCGACTGAATCCGAAGAACTTCTTCTTCATCACCGATCATTGGGCCTTTACATATTCACAGATGATGATAAAGCAATCGAAGAGGATTTGTCAGAGCAAAATGAATTTAGAAGAGTTGATTACCTGTTATGATCTTTGGTTGAGGACGAGCAGGCCCTTGCACCCTATCGGATGAACTAGACTTCGGGTCGGTGTCGGTATCTTTTTGGGGAGGGCTGCTTGCTCGGGCCTCTGTTTCCGGGATGTCCTCATTTCATTCTGTACCCAACTGGTTTCCAGTCGGGGGCTCCTGATCAGCTTCGGCCGACTGGTTCCCGGTTGGGGGCTCGTTGCTGGCCTCTATATTATCGGTTGCTGGTTGATTACTACTCGGGCGATTTTCGGCGGTCAGCCCAGTTTCTGTTGTAGGACCAGTCTCCATGCTAGTCGGTTCAGAGTCTTTTCCAGAAGGATCGATGTCAGATGGCTTCCTACAGATTTGAGATATGCTATTAACACTACTTTGATGGTGTATGTTTAGCGATACAGGGAAGATTATTAAATGACTTGTACCTGGATGACTTCCTGATTTTTGGTATTGGACGACTGGATGTTTTCTTCTTCGGGTTAGCTTGCTTTGGTTGTTTTCCAGTCACCTCTTTGTTGCCAGCTTTTTCAACATTGTCACCCTCATCGTCACTCAGTATTAATTTCCTTTTTCGAGAGTTAGACTAGTTAGTTGGCTTTGAGATGCTTGGCTGAGCATCAGACTAGATTTTCGGCCCTCCACTGGCTTGACCTGCTTGCCGGTGGGGTGAGCGGCGTTGAGCGATTGGGGGATCAGATTTCATCAAAGAAAGTTCCTATGCATGATATTTCAAGTTTTCAGCCAACCTTGCAAAAGACAAAAGGATACCATCAGAAAGGCCGAGATGTCTGTTACATACTGGTGGAGGAGGGTTGAAAGCATTGTATGGCACTACTGGAAGCAGGTGTGAGTAGCTAACTGCGATAGCGTTAGAGAAGATTTTGTACATTCTCTCCTTCATGATTTTAAACTCAAGAGATTCTGGATCTTCACGGTTGGGGTCATTCTTGCCATCAAATTCGAAGGTAGTGCGAGATCTTTCTTTGATTGGTGCCAGCCGGCTCTTGATGAAATGCCGAGTGATTTGTTCCCCTTGCAGACCCTGTTCTTTAAGTTTCAACATGCGTTCCATTAGAGAAAGAGCTTGGGCAGCCTCATCTCCCATTGGAAGCGAGTTCCAGGTGTGTTGGTATGTTGGATGAAGGCAGGAGTACTCGGGGAGCGCTCGCTCAGGATTTTGCCCATAAAACCAGTTTGCATGCCAGCCCTTGTTCGAGGTTTTGAAGGGCATGGAGAAGTATTTCTGGCTTAAGGTTCCCCTTAACTGAAAACCTGCCCCCCCAACGACGCATGGCTTGCTCTTGTTTGGCTGGGACTTCAGGAAGAAGATGCGGCGGAATAAGGCAAAATGTGGCCTAATCCCTAGAAAAGCTTCGCAAACATGGATGAAATTGGCGATGTGAACTATGGAATTGGAGTTTAGGTGATGCAAACTAATCCCGTAAAACTCCAGGATCCCCCGGAAGAATCTTGAGGTTGGTAGAGAAAAACCACCATAGAAGAAATGAGAAAATACCACGACCTCGTGTGTGTCAGGGGTCGGAAATGCTTCGCCATATGCCAGACGCCACCCGATAATCTCCTTAGCCGGAAGAACGCCATGTGCTACCATCTCCTTCAAATTCTCCTCTGTTACATCGGAGGGAGCCCATTGACTTTCGAAGCTTTCTCTCTCCTCAGCCATGGGTGCGAGATGGATGATGAGATTTGGGGCGAGGACGGCAGCGAGTGAAGAGGAGATTGGTGCGGTGGATGTGCGGAAGATCTATGCAAGAGCACTAAGCTTCGAGAAGGGTGGAATGGTGTGGATTTGCGAACCCTAGTCTCCGTCGGCGCAGTGTTTGTACTGTAGCGGGAAGTGGGGAAAATGGAGAGGATCGCGGCGGGGAAGACGAAACGGCGCCCTATTTTAGCATTTTTTTTCGCTAGGGTATCGGGAGGTGCTAATGGGCCTGGGCCTAAGCAGTACCTTCAGCCCAATTTTATTGTCTGCGTGGTTGGTTGTGATCCTTAGGGACTTAGGCATATGTTTTTGCTTTGGCAAAATTTGCTCACGACAGAATAGCCCAGTGCTGCTCAAATCCTTTTTGATGCAGTTAGATAATTCTTTGGAATTTCTACAATGCAAATAAAAAGGTGCCCAACAGAAAAGTATTATATTAATTTTGTTGGCCTTTTTAGGCTACAAAGCTATTCGGGTCTTAATGAGATGACTGATTTTAAATGGTCATTCTCTTAGCATGTTATATGCTTACCTTGATAATGGTGTGAGTCATAGCTTAGGCTATTTAGACTCGTCATTTATCATGCTTCATACCACATTTGATGGATCTTTTTTAGAGTTTTTACTCGGATTTTTATCATGTGTGTTGATTTATAGAGCTTTAGAGTGTTTCTCACTCGGGCCTCTTCTATATTTCTTTTTTGGCGCATTAAAGCTAAAGCAGTCGGCTGGATGTTTTATCAGATGCCGCATATGCTTAGCTATATGATCCCTTGGGTGATTTGGTTGAGAAACCACTCGGATGGATGTTTTGATGCATTTTGACTATATGTTTAGTTTTTATTTAACTAATCACATAGTTGGGGGTTACACCTAATTAGGTGCATCTAGTCGATGCACCTAATTTTTTCTATTTTCAGCCCTTCACAGTCTTTGACTTTAGTACTCGGGAGACCAAGGCAGAAGAAGTTGAAACACTCGGATTATCGTTTTGAATTACGAGAGAAGACTATTTCGTCGCCTGTAAAGGTCTCAGGGGCTACGGTGGAGATTATGGATACCCCATACCTGCATGGCGTGTATATCTGACTGAATATGGGGTGCCATGTATAGATAGAATATCTTCAAAGGGACTCGGGTTAAATTCCAAACTTGTATGTCAAGGAAATACGCAGGATCCTAGTCGGTTACGATTGTATCTTATCTGTAACTACCTATTCCGTTAGGGATATGGGCTGTACTTTGTAATACGGACCCCTTCCCCTATATAAGGAGGGGTCCGGGTGCCTCTTGGGGACACGATTTTTCTCCCAGATCATACGATCAATTATACACTCAGCGGATCAATCCCCGGACAGGAGTAGGGTATTACTTCTTATTAAGAAGGCCTGAACCTGTATAAAATTCCTTGTCTCTAAACCCATCCACTTTTCTAGCTTGATAGCCACCCCCTCTTAGTAATACCGAAATCTTGTTTCGGCACTAATAAAGACATAAATAATTTTTTAGCTTTTATTACTATCTCTATTCCAAAATATAGCAACTTTTAGCTATGAATCTGGACACACAGTTATCCAGATTTATAGCTAAAAATGCTTATATTTTGGGATGGAGGGGGTATACAATGTATCAACTATGCATATGTGTACTAACTACTAATATAGAAATTGATACTGCAAAAATACATTACGTTTCCGATCGACAAAACCGGGTGCCAAGAGGCACCCACCGTGACCTTTCTTAATTTTTGTTTGACAATTTACATGTCTTAAGACTTCTCTCTGAGTATTGAATGACTTAATTAGACGAAAGTCTTTCAACATGGCAATTAAGTCGACAAGTTGTCACATGCACTAGCTACTGGTTTTGTTCTCAACGTTTTCACGACCAATAACTCCTCCGCTTTTACTGTTAATGGCAGCATGATGTATCGTAGAATAAATGTATCTATTAATTTTATAGTTTTTTTAGATAATAATTTTATGGTTATTTAAAACATTTAAATTTGAGACTCGAATATACTGTATCATAAAATATGGCTACATTTTCAAGTTTAGTCTAGCTATATTTTGAGACAAAGATAGTATATATAACTTGTAAATACATCCTACAATCATGCATTTTAATTTCAAATTTATTTCTATATGTACAACCAGACAAGTAGCAGGTATAGTACATTATATATGATCGATTGGATTCAACGGATCCAAAGCAATAGATCACCCCTAATTACAATAGAGTACTGTAAAAGGGAAATGTTTCATATCCACACAACCCTTCTCGTCTCGTGTATACAATGTATGTACCTATTAAAAAAACATCACCAAAAATTGTAGAAAAAGTTGTATATGTACTTTTAGTAGTATCATATTTATGAATAGAGTCTCATCTTCAAATTCATTCCATATATGGTGTTAAACAAAGATAAAATTTTGATCGATTTATACACTTAAAACTATTAAGGATTTTATCTTTTACATTACGGCTAAAATATAATAAATTTGAGATTAAGACTTTATACATTAAGTGTAATGCTATTAAAGTACATGTTAAATTTATTTTTAGATTTGTTGATGAAATTTGTTAGTTGATGTGCACGGTATGTATATGATACATTCCCCTATAAAACAAGCCTTACTAAATTGCAATATGCACTGGCGGCGTCGTCAGCACTATTCTTAAAAACGTGGTCAACTTGACTAATCATAATTCCAAATTGTCTAGAAATTCCATGCATGTTATCTTAGATTGATCACATGGCTTCTTAATTTTCAACGTTTCAAAATGACCGTCACTGTTTGTGATATAAACTGCTAAGACTTTTACTCTTAAATTTCTAGAGACCTATCAAGTATGAAGTATCAAGCAATAGGTAAGTCGCATATTCCCACAGAGTTTTAGCTCAAGACGATGACGTTCGTGGTAACCAAGTCGTCGCCGTCGGTGCTCGTCCGCCCGTCGGAGCCGACGCCGGCGGCGACCATCCGGCCAACCTCCACTGACATGACACGCCTGGGCATGTCGTTCACGTCGTTCCACGTGTTCGAGCGCGGCGTCGACGAGCCGGCGGAGACCATCAGGCGCGCGCTGTCGCGTGCCCTGGTCCACTACTACCCCTTCGCCGGCCGCCTCGCCGGCAGCGGCGACGACGTCGTGTTCTCGTGCACCGGCGAGGGCGTGGTGTTCGTCCGCGCGACGGCGAACTGCACCCTGGAGGACGTGAACTTCCTCGGAGCACCGGTGGTCATGTCGCTCGCCGACCTCGCCGTCCGGTACGGCGGGCCATGCCGGGCGGCGTCCGACCCGCTGATGATGATGCAGGTGACGGAGTTCGCGTGCGGCGGGTTCGTCGTCGCGGCGACGTGGAACCACGGCGTCGCCGACGCGTGCGGGTTGGCGCAGTTTCTACGCGCCGTCGGCGAGCTCGCCCGCGGTCTCCACTCGCCGTCCGTCGTGCCGGTCAGGTACGACGAGTCGCTGCCTGACATCCCGCAGCTTGCCACCATCCTCCTCAAGCGGCTAGCCGCCGGCGTAAAATTTGAGCACGTCGACTTCGCCTACTGCGACGTCATCATCCCGTGGAGCTTCGTCAACCGCGTCAAGGCCGAGTTCGGGAGCAGGCACGCCGGCGACCGGCCTTGCTCCGTGTTCGAGGCGGTCACCGCGGCGATGTGGCAGTGCCGGACCCGCGCCATCAATGGCCACGGCGGCGGCGCCCTCGCGCCGCTCGTGTTCGCGGCGAACGTGCGGAAGCACGTCGGAGCCAAGGACGGGTACTACGGCAACTGCATCATGTCGCAGGTGGTGGTCGCCACGGCCGACGCGGTGGCGAACGGCGACGTCGTCGACTTGGTGAAGCTGATCAAGGACGCCAAGGAGCGGATCCCGGTGCTCCTCAGCACCAAGACGCTTGGGCTCGACGACAGCGGCGGCGGCGAGCTCGTCGCCGCGCTGTGCGGGTACGGCGCGCTGTACGCGTCGAGCTGGGCGGGGCTCGGGCTCGACGGCGTCGACTTCGGCGGCGGGAGGCCGGCGCGGGTGATCCCCTACTCGGAGGTGAAGATGCTGCCGTCCATCTCCCCGGGCGCGCCGTGCTCGATGATGGACGGCCATGGCGTCAACGTGGTGGCGTCGTGCGTAACAGACGAACACCTCGAGGGGTTCCGGGCACAATTGGCGAGGCTCTAGTGATCTGCCCTATTTCAAAGAGTATCCTAAAGCGATTTCAAATTTTCAAATCTTTACTTTTATGAATTAAGTTTTGCAGATACTTTTTATGTCTTTGCTCCAGTGAACCGCTCGCTTTATGAAAGAAGAAGAAGAGGGGGGGGGGGGGGGGCTTTTAACTATTTGTCACTCTTACGAGTGGTTCTTAACGATTTGCCACTAGGCCCACATGTCATAGACATATAAGGGCCCGCATGTCATAGACACAGTGTGGCAAATCGTTAATTGCCATGTCACAAGAGTGGCAAATAGGGCGGCGGGCTAATGGGCGATCGCTCGATCCCAATCCCCCCATACGCTCTCTCCCCCTTTCCTCCTCCCATTCTTCTCTTCCTACTACACCATACATTTAAAAAAATAAAAAAACAAAGTTGAAAAAAATTATATATAGAAATACTATATTAAAAAATATTTGAATTTAAATTCAAATTTGAAACGGGTAGGTAAACTTTTGACTTATAAACTTTGGGTGTACAAAGTAAGAGATAATCTCTGATATGCCACTGAAAATTGGTCTGATCCCTTATATGCCACTGAAAATTGGCTCTTCCCTTATATGTCATTGGTCCAAATTTGCGCACCCTCTCAAGCCACTACTGTCAGTTGACCGTGTGTTGACCGTTAACTCTCAAGTAAAAAAAGACATATTTGCCCTCTTTCAGTTGTTAAGCATGCCCTATACTCAGAAGGGTAAATACGTCTTTTTCCTTGAGAATTAACGGTCAACACACGGTTAACTGATGAGAGTGGCATGAGAGGGTGTGCAAATTTGGATCAATGGCATATAAGGGAAGAGCCAATTTTCAATGGCATATAAGGGATCAGACCAATTTTCAGTGGCATATAAGGGATTCTCTCAAGTAAGAGAGATAATTGAATTCAAATTCAAATTTAAATCGGGTATGTAAACTTTTGACTTATAAACTTTGGGTCTATAAACTTTAGGTGTATAAACTTTAGATGTATAGAAATACTATATATAAATAATATTTGAATTCAAATTCAAATTTGAATCGGATATAATTCATATTCAAATTTAAATCGGATATGCAAACTTTTGACTTATAAACTTTGGGTCTATAAACTTTAGGTGTATGAACTTTAGATGTATAGAAATAATATATATAATATTTGAATTCAAATTCAAATTTGAATCAGGTGTATAAACTTTTGACTTATAAACTTTGGGTCTATTAAAATTTAGGTGTATGAACTTTAGATGTATAGAAATACTATATATAAAAAATATTTGAATTTAAATTCAAATTTGAATCGGATATATAAACTTATAACTTATAAACTTTGGATCTAAACTTTAGATGTGTAAACTTGAGGTGTACAAACTTTAGGTGCATAAATTTACTAAAATAGGAAAGTAATACGGTGCCTAAAAAGGAAACCACGTGGAGGAGAGGGGGTATCAGTTGATCCGATCTCTAGGGGCGATCGATCGCCCCATAGCCTTTTCGAGAAGATCATGGATTGACATGTGGGCCGGCCCAACTTATACAATTTTGTTTTACTAGCAAAAGTGCCCGTGCGTTGCAACGGGAAGCGTACAGATAAGAAAAATATGCAATCAATTAAAATACAAATTCGTTGAAAATTTTTGGTATTTTTAAGTAGATATGTGTATAATTAAATAAATTTACAAGTAAAGAAAATTTGAGAAATAAAATAACATGGTTGAATTTAATTTTATTAAATTCTCCATGATTAGTTACGCTCTTTAGAATTTTATTGGAATTTTTAGAGCTTAATTGCTAATTTTAATAATACAAACATCATTTAACAATTATTTAATTTGAAAAAGAAAAATAATCCTTCATTTTAGGTTTGATTCGAAATAAACACATTAAGTAACTATAATAGTAAATGCTACTGAAAAAATGAAGTACTAAAATGAACTTCTTCTCTTTTTCTTCGGCCTGAGGGGCCTAAAATAGACTTATTTTTCGGTCCTTGCCGGTCGGCCCACGGCCTTTTCCTCATGCGCGGGCGCACTTCCCCTCCCCAGGCCGCAACCTGGGGTTGGGCCGGAAAAGTGGCCTCGCTCTCGATCCCTCTTGGGCCGATTTTGACCCGGCCAACGCCGGCCGTCCGATCTCTAGGGTTTTGATCGGACGGCCAAGCGTCGAGATCAGGGAAACAAAACCCCCTCCCTCTCCGCAGCCACCGAAAACCCTAGCCCATTTCCTTCTCTCCCTTCTCTCTCTTCGACGCCCTCCCCTCCGCGCCCCCGATGCTCCCGTGCCCAAGCGGCGGCGGCGGCACCTCTCTCCCCAAGCGACTGCGGCGGCGGCGACGCCTCTCTCCCCGAGCGACTGCGGCGGCGGCGACGCCTCAACCCCCGTGCCCAAGCGGCAGCGGCGGCGCCTCTCCCCCAGAGCCCAAGCGGCAGTGGCGGCGCCCTCCCCTCGAGCAGCGGCGGCGGCGGCGCCCTCCCTCCACGAGCGGCGACGGCGGCTTCACCACCACCAGCGGCGCGGCGGCGTCCTCCCCTACCACTGGCGGCGGCGGGGGCGGTAGCGCTCGGGGAGGCGTCGGTGGCCCGCTGGCGTCCAGCGGCGGCGGTGCCCCTCCCCTCTGCCGGATCCAACGGGAGGGGAGCTGCGGCGGCCTGGCGTCCCTGCGACGGCGGCGGCGGCTGCGGTTCGACGGTGACCTCTCCTTTGATCTTTTTTTTTGGATATATTTGTGTGTATAATGCTTCCTCCGATTTTATTTTATTTGTATGATTGATTGAATTCCGATTGGGATTTTTTTGGGTGGGAGTGATGGAATTCCGATTGGGATTTGGGGGAGGCGAGGGGGACGAAAATCACCATACCTATGAGGTGACGAACGGAAAAATACGAATATCTATATTAGTTATAGATATGGACTTGGCTGACTGGATTGCACTGGGACCAAAACTACTTTATATGGTGTTTATCGGTAATTTATCTTGTTTAAAAAGTTTAGTGGCGAATATCAGTTAAGTGGTTAAATTGGAATGCTAAATCAATATTTAGCGACTAGCCTCGTGCCCCCCCTCTCTCCCCCACGTGGTTCGTGGTTAGTTCCGTGCAGTACGAGAATACATGTATGTAAAAAAGAAATGTTTATATGTATATAAAATATATACGTATGATTTTTTTACATGTATATATAATATTTTTTATACGTATGAAATTTTTACGTGTATATATAATATTTTTATACATTGAATATCTATTTCCTACTATCGGGAGTAGTTATCCCCTGGTAGTCTAACGTTCATCTGCTTCACAATATATCTTATACCGGATATGGTTTATGGGAATCTATACTTTATATAAAGTTGTAGCACCACTAAGTGTAAAGCTCAACATGTAACTATACTACATCATCACCCACTAACAATAATTACATATTTAGCCTCATGCAAACATACAACATCTTCTACAATTTATTTGATTGGGAAAATTGCATCCATGCCTCCACTTTCAGCCCCAACTGTTGTTTTACCTCCACTTTTTAAGGTTTAAACTTTTATTGAAAACGAACTAGACATTTGCCCTCACTTTTGACAACTAGTTTGATGGTGTTAGTTTTAGGGCAAAAGCACATTTATACCCTTGGCTATTTGTTGTATTTTTTGCCCTTACAATAAACCATAATACATAGAAATCATAGATATAGTAGCAAGCATTACTTAGTGTCACATAGTCCCAAATAACGAATGTAATTTATCCAACGAATCAAACTGAATCAAGGGAGAACCACAATGATAAGAATAGATCAAATTACATGTTAATCTCTTCAAGTATGCTCCATTGAAAGGATTTCCTCCATTGATGCCCTTCCCCTAACCTTTACCTCACATACACCGAGCCTCTGTTCTTCCTGCCTCCAACAGAGCCCAACCGCCGCCGCTGCCTGCTGCGTCAGAAGGCCTGGGGCAGATGCCTGCCTTGCTGCGCCGGAAGCCCTGGTGGCCCCTGCCACCGCTGCGTTGGAAGCCCCGCCGCCGCTTGCCTTACCGCACCGGAAGCCCTGCCGCCGTCTGCCTTCGCTGTGCCAGAACCCCCGTGGCCGCCGCCCGCCCCGCCGGAAACCTGTCGTCGACTCGAGCCATCATCGCACATGCCAGAACCGCCAGTGCCTGGCCGCTGCTCGCCGCGCACGCTAGAACTGCCACCGCCTTGCTCCCGCCCCACGGCCGCCACCTGGCTGCTGTCTCGACGGAGCGCTGTCCGACGCTCGCCACCGCCTTGCGCATGCCTGCACCACCGCCACCGCCTCTAGGTCTAGGGTGGTCTGGGTGTTCATAGGCACAACCACAGTCGGTGGGGAGGAGAGGGATTCCATCTATATCCATTCATTCAGGGTAGAATGGTAAATTGATATTTCATAAATCTTTTTTTAATTTCCATTTGTAATTCTAAACACTTAAACGTGGGACCCACCAAACATGCGTTACAAGTGGGGGTAAACGGCTGGTTCGTTATTAAAAATTGGGGATAAAATTGCAAACCCTAAAACGTAGGGGTAAAACAACAGTTGGGGTTGAAAGTAGGGGCATAGATGCAATTGTCCTTATTTAATTCTACAAATCGTAGATGCAATTGTCCTTATTTAATTCTACAAATCGATATGTAAGTATATCCAATCATCACCCCTCACATTATTTGCACAATATTTTCACAAATCTATCTATCATTTTTATTTTTATGATATTTAACATATACTTATCAATATGCTTTATATTAAAGCGTAAGTATCATTTATTTGTTTTATAATAAGTGCTGATAAATCCTGATGTTTTGTTTTTTTTTCTTTTTACTAATAGCTTGATTCTCGAAAAAAATATATTAAAAATTGTTTAGTAATTCCTGCAGTAAAGCGTAGGTAATCACGATACAATGACCGGTTAGCATGCAGACCCGGTCATCCAACTAAATAAATTTAGAACATAGTTTGTCAGTTTATTAAATTGTTTGGTTAATGCAATTAACCAAGTCACGTAATTGGGAAATGGTTTTTCCAACTTCATGATTAGCGGGCTACATGCAAAACAGAATTTTAAACTTAGTGGGAAAGGAATATGGTGACCGATTTATAATTTCTTCTCTTCCGCTATAGAACAATTCAGTTATTTTATTGCGAAACTCATAACATGCAAAACTTATGGGTTGGTACTACACTTTCGGCAGCAACATACCGAGGAAATTATAGTAACGTAAAGCATGCAGTAGTAACGGTATTGCTACAGTACTTGTGCATAGATAAAATTTTAAGTCTTAATCTCGTGCAAAGTACATGTGCTAAAAAGTGCATGTGTATGGTCACAAGTTGACACAGGGGCTAAAGTACTTCTCTTTGTCCACACAAAGACACATACAAAGACACATAGTAGCAAGTTTTTCAAACTGCTTAACGGTGGGTTTCATGAGAAAACTTTTTATATGGAAGTTGCTCTAAAATACCAGATAAATATATTTTCCAACTTTGTAATAATTAAAAACATAATTAATTATACGTTAATACCACCTCATATTTCGTAAAACACTTAATCTTCATCTTCATCTATATGAGTTTAAACACCACCTAAATACTATTGATATTTTTAGAATTCTAATCTTTTAAACAATAATATCTCTGACACCATATCTTATATTTGATGGTGGAAATGTTATATTTTTTTAGAATTCTAATCTTTTAAACAATAATATCTCTCACACCATCAAAATTTGAATTCGTTTTCGTTTTTTGAACTTTCTCGAAAAAATTCCATTCGACACTTTCCATTTCTGAAAATATGTTCGGAATCCGAAAACGTTTCGGACCGTTTTCATCCCATCGGTGTGATGTAATCACATATTGTATGTTTTGTATGACCTAGGAGTCGAAATGCTTTTTGTTCGTGTGATTAACTGGTGGAAAAAGTTCAAAAACGCTATCGCACGAGCGGTCGTGTGCGGCGCTCAAGGGATCACTTCTGTTTTCCAATTTTGGCCAGTGGTCCGATCCCTCTCTTTTCCTATTTAGGCCGTGTTGGTTTCCTTCTGAAATTCCTTCCCGGCTTGGCATGTGTTTGGTTTCTTTATTGGGCTTGGCCTTAGTTTTTCTAGAGTGAGCTGAATCTAAGTGGGTGTACTATGGGCCTGTTTGGGGAGCTTCTAGTAGCTGCAGTTTCTCCTAGAATCTCCAGTTACCAGAAACTCCTCCAAACAATCTAGCTTTTTACCTAGATTCTGAGAATATGTAGTTGTAGAATCTGAAAAATGAACTAGAAGCCTGAACTGGGTTTCCCAGCTTCTCCAAATTCTCACTAGCTAGCTAGCTTCTCAGCAGCTGCTTCTTAAAATTTTAAGCTCTCTAAACAGGTCCTATATATCCATGTGCATCGCCTAGTATCGGGTGGAAGGTCGGACAAAGCCAAAATTCTTTTATTCCATTTTTTAATTTGGTATTAAATTTATACAGGCAAAGTATATATACGCACATGTGCAGAACATCTACTTATCAGTAAAACCACCTCCACAACCACCCAGGACATTATTTGCACCGGTCTTATTAGTTGGAGGAGTTGATATAGCTGGTTTTGTGGATGGTGGACGGGAATCGTACTAAAGCAATAGTTGAGGGAGTCAAAGTATACTTTTTCCTTTTTTTTTTAAGCCAGTATAATGCTTGTGGGCTTAAAGGCACATGGGCTACTTGGCCTGCTTAGGCACACATGGATGGGCTCAAAGGCACATGAGCTGCTTTCCGTTTTGGGAGCACTTGGATATGCTCTTTTTCATTTAGAAACCGCACATCTCTGCACGCGCGTGATCAGTCGCGTCGCGCATCAGACGCCCCTAAAAAAGTTGGCTTCGTTTGGTGATGGGCTTTTCAACAATGATAACGTGGAATAGTCTACACAATCACATCAGAATTGAAATATTGTTTGGATTATTGGAATTGAAATATAGTCTACACACAATCACAACCGTTAATTGTCGCCCGGTACTGTGCCATCCACCTTTGCTGGCTTTCTCTGCGGTGAGCAAAGGAAGAGAGGAGAGGGGGGAGAGGAAAAAGTGGAAAAGTGAAAAAATGTGGTATAGGTGGGATTTACTTTAAGCAATTTGTATCGTGGAACATGTGTTGATGAAAAACACGAGGCCTGGGAGATCTTCTTAACTCCAGTGCAGGTCCAAAACTCACCTTCGGGTATGCTAGCATGCCAGTTGATTTGATCCTGCAATCAGCAAGAAATAAAGGCAAAGAAACCGCGGTTAAATCCATAAATGACAGCCGATCGGCTAGGTGCCGATGATATATCATTTATCTTTGAGCCGATGTCATATATGTATCGATCGGCAGCCATGAGTAAATAAGAAGGAACTAAATCTACTCGATCGGCTGTAGATATTAACAATATATACTCCTTATATCGATATATACTTAAATCAAATGATTGGGATATATCGGTCGCCATGCCGAGACAGTATAAATCACTTAGATTGAAATATATATTAATAATAAGACTATATATGTTTATAGCATAGCCGATCAGATAGATCTAGCATGTATCGGCTAATACTCCGATACTACTCTATATTAAGATATTAAAGCAAGCAGAATATATCAAACAAAAGCCTAATACACTTAAATGCCACAAAATCTTAATATAAAGGGCAGATTTAACATGTCAGTAAAGCATATATAACAAGTATAGTTAAATCAGGTAAGATCGGCTGAAACCCCGATACTACCCTAATCGGCAACCAAGAAGCAGGCTAGAGATTGAGATTCTAATCACGACTCATAAGATCAAACAACTGATGCAGCTATAAGTATGAAAAGAAGGACAATATCTAGACAATCAAGCCATTGGAAGTTTCATAGAGTGGTAGATATCATGTACAATCTAAACCAACATCGATATTTAACCTAATCGGCTGACCTCTACTAGTAGATGTTAGCTGATTGTAGGTTAGATGATGATATTGCTATAGATTATATAAGATATATGACAACTCGACGGATTACATAAACAAGATTAGAGTATTATAAAGATGGAAGCACTAATCCTGAGAACGCAAGCCGACAAAATCAGTTTTACCTCTTGTTGAAAATCGAAACCGATGCAGCTCAACCCGAAAGTAAGAACTCGTCGAAATAAAACGAAAGTAAAAAGGGTGGCGATGCGCCGAGATTGTATTGAACGTGTGTGTTAATTGATTACATGGGGTACGGGGTCTATTTATACCCGAGAATTACAAACTATGTCCATATCGGACACGACTCCTATCTCTAACAAACTCTAAGATATCATAAGTCTTTGCAGACTTTTGCCCAAACATATCTCTAAGGAAATTACATAAAATATCCTAATTAATAGATACAATTACCTTCTCAAGACTCTATCCATGCGTGGCAATCATCTTGAAGCATATCAACTCAACCCGATGATGTACACCAAGTTGTATTGTTGGATTTAGCTAAATCGGCTAACCTCGTCCGACTCGAAATCCGCCGATCTTAGCCGTAGCCGATTCGGACTTCAGCCGATCTTACTCTGTTCCCCGATCGATTTCCATCTCGGATTCTACTTTTATTCCATCTCTATCTCCGATACTTAGATTACCAAATTTGGTCGTTAACAACATGTAGCTAACATTGTTTTTTTTCTTAGGTGAAGGGTTCCGCAAAATTTCGTTTCACATTGTGAACGTCCTGAAAAAGTTGGCTTGTTTGGTGAAGCTAAGGTGCTTTTCGACAATGACAACGTGGAATAGTCTACACAATCACATCATGAATTGAAATATTAATTATTTGGATCTTTGTATTATTCTCCTAATTCTGTCCAGGTACATAGAATGATGTCACTAGCTTCAGTGCACGACATCAACTAATTAATAAATGTCAGGCTACTTTTTAAAATAATATTGCACATATAACTTTCATATTTCCTTACCTGTACATACAAGTGTAAATTAATTTTTGTGAAAACTATTATCAAACTATAGCAAAACAACGTATCCAACAAATTTCATCATAAAGGCACAAGCATCTTATTATTAGATTATCAATTATATATATAACACAAATAGGAGCTTGCCGCGGTGGTTGGTGCGGAGGTGGTGAAGCGACGACGGTGCCCTTGCCGACTGACGCCTCCAATTCCAAGAACCGCCGAGCTCCTGTCGTCCCCCACTACCGCACCGTTGACCTCACCGTCCTCCACTACTAACCATGCCGTCCGCCGGTACCACGTCACCGACCTCGTTGTATCCCACTAACAGCCACTGACCTCACTGCTGTACTGGGGTGCGGGGAGGGGAGGGGTGATGCATCGACGAGTGCTAGGCCCCACCGCCGCTTTTCTCGGTGCCATCGCCGCTTGGGCCGCTCGGCTCGGCACTATCTCTGCCCAGCTTTCTCTGCAATGGGGAAAGGAAGAGAGGAGAGAGGCGAGAGAAAAAAAAGAGAAAAGTAAAAAAAAAGGTATTGATAGGACCTACTATAAGCAACTTACATTGTGGAATATGTAGCTAACATTGTTCTTCTTTTGGTGGCATGTGAGGTTCAGAAAATTTCGTGTCGCACTATAAACGTCCTAAAAAAGTACAAAATCTTATTATTAGATTTATCATATATATATATATATATTCAAAACATATTATCGCAAAAACACTAGCTGCAGGCTGTGGCTGTGCTGCCCTGCTAGCTAGCTGTGGTTGGGCTAGCACGAAACCATAGAGCTGGTTGTGGCTGTGCTGCAACAATGTCAGCGAGCACGTGAATAATTAATATCCATACGTTCACCATCCTTGTGTCGCCAATCGCCATTGCTGTCCAATTGAACGAAAAAAAAATGCTTGTCTCCACGTCGAAACAAACACGGCATCGAAACCTTGTAGAAGCATCGCTATACAACCAACAACACAAACAAAACTGTCCTCGTAGGAACAACCATCACTTAAAATTTGTTGATATTGGATATCCATTTGTTGATATTGGATAGTTGGGTTAAAACGAAAATAAAGGCACCGGCCAGGGAGGAATCGATGGATATTCAAATTTCTGCATGCATGTCCGGCCGGTACTCTATTTTCAAACTTTTGCATGCATGCACACCAGCCGGTGAGGATTTGTTTGAAGATTTGGAGATGTTCTGTAATATGTAATGATTTGGATATGGGAGGGGATGGTGTGAAATCAATATTCAATATTAAAAGCAGAAAAAAAAGAAAAAATATCTTTAGTCCCGGTTGGTGATGGGAGCATGACACCAACCGGGACTAAAGATTGATTTTTAGTCCCGGTTATTTGAACCGGGACTAAAGATAGCGATCTTTAGTCCTGGATTTGTAGTCCCGGTTGGAAAACCGGGACTACAGGGGGGTTACGAACCGGGACTAAAAAGCATTTCTCCACCAGTGTGCCATGCCACGTTAAAAATTTCAGATATACTGTTTTCTTAGTTAGTAGAAGTATATACTCTTTTCACTAACTATTAGTATTTGTTTTGTCACTATATACTCTACTTTGTTTAGTAGTAGTATATACTATTTTTTTCAATATATACTATTCTTTACTTAATAGTATACACTATATTGTCAATGCACAACTGCACAGATTTGGTGCACAATTGAAGGAGGCCATGCATTTGGTTTCAAAATTGACAATGTACCTATCTAACTTTCCTCTTTTTTCAAATACTAGTACAGATTAGTACTAGTATATGCAGTATTTGTTTTTGTATTGGTATATACTGTTTTTTTTGTTACTAGCAGTATATATTATTTTTAAAGTTACGGTATATACTATTTGTCAGTTAGTAGTAGTATATGCTCTTTTTAAAGTTAGTATCGGTATATACTGGCTATATTTAGTTGCAGTACATACTCCCTCCGTTTTTTATAATAGATGACGCCGTTGACTTTTTCTCACATGTTTGACCATTCGTCTTATTCAAATAATTTATACAAATATATAAGATATAAATCACACTTAAAGTACTATTCGTGATAAAACAACTCATAATAAAATAAATTATAATTACGTAAATTTTTTGAATAAGACGAATAGTCAAACATGTGAGAAAAAGTCAACGGCGTCATCTATTTAAAAAACGGAGGTAGTAGTATTTTAAAAGTTCATTGCAGTATATACTATTTTTCAGTTAGTAGTAGCATATGCTGTTTTTTTAAGTTAGTATCGGTATATACTAGTTTTACTCAGTAATTCAAAAGCTAACTGCAGTATATACTTATTTTCAGTTAGTATCGGTATATACTTCATTTTAAGTTAGTGGTAGGTATGGGGTTGATATATAGTTATGAATCAGAACACACTGAGTATGACTGCGAAAGAAGTATCAATTCGCTGATTAAGATTTACAAACAACATCACTGTTACATTCAGAATTATGCAAAACAAATTTAATGCTCTGGCCGTATACTGAATGAACAGTATCAGTACTTCTTTTCCAGATCAAAACCAGGAGAACAAGAACGAAACATAATACTCCTACATCGATTTTAAAATGATTTCTTGTTGCCTGACAACATCAATCACCCGGGTGCCGTACGTGGCCGTCGACGCCGCCACCAACAGATAGGCAGCCGTGGAGCAGCAGTTATGCCATGGCATTCACTGAAATTCATGAGTCGTTCGAGTCGACGCTGCACTGCACATCGATATACTCTGCTATCGGCCACCATCTGCATACAAAAGAAATCATGTGCTTAATCATTCAAGGAAAGAAAGCCAGAAAGGCAGTATATACTATACGTGAATAGCAGCACGGACAAGCAGAAAAAAGGAGTTCAATTAACAGATGCATCACGTACGTACGTGTTTTTACCGGACGCCGGCGTTGATGCGTTGTCAGATTTCATCGGCTGGGGCAAAACCATAGCTTAAGGGAAGAGGATGACCTTACAGGGGCTGCCGTCTCTGATGACGATTCGCTTCCAGCAAGCGACGTACGAATAGGCCAGGGGATTTGCAATTATAACACTGTAAACATTAACCTTTGCTATAATGGTACTGGACCCACATTTTATAGACACAGATAGATCCATTTGTCATCCACTCGAAATGTCCCAATATTGTAATTTTCAGGAATAGGCCATAGGGCTAGCGAAATCAATCTTCCGCCGCCTGCTGGGAACGACGAAGTCGCCGTGCCCGAGAGTTGAAGCACGTTGTGCCTGCCGGTGAAGCGCGCCAGGAACGCGCCGGCCGTGGTGCCGCCATCTACGCTTCTCCGATGGGGTGGATCTGTCAGCACGCCGAATCTCCGATGAGCATGTTGCCCCTGCCGCCGGCTGGATAGAACCGGAATATATATGCGAGCAGTTCTACACCGATGCCAGATCCGATCATCAAGGGATAATCAAATATTCCAGCTTTTCTTTTTAGAAAATTCAAAATCGGTCTGCTGGGATCCGATACGCAGGAACATGTGTGCAATCGATCGATAAGGTACGCGGATGGACGGTGGATGCGGACCAGGAGTACGTACTCCCGGGAGTACATAAACATTTTTCATATATATATATATATATATATATATATATATATATATATATATATATATATATATATAAAATCATGAGCAGCACTTAAGAGTCCGGTCGTCTCAAGTTAGCATGCGAGTTTTTTTAAACAAATTTCTTATATGGTTCCTTCTGTATTACCAAAAGTAAACGATGTTAAAAACCGACTCAAATACGGATATGTATTTTCAAAAGCAAACGAACTTAAAAACCGACTCATACATAGATGATATACAAAAAATACCGGCAAAAACATCTTCAATTTTTACAATAGTAGAGATAGATTTATATCCAAAAGTATTTTTTCATAAGGCGTTAATGTTGTGGCTATTGATAATATATATACTATGTGAATAATCAAAGTACAATATTAAAGATAGTATAAAAAGACAACACGCTATAATTTTTTCCGAGCGGGTATATTTGTGTTAATTTACCTTTATATATGAACAGCCAATATGCTTAGCATACGTGAGTAGGGATGAAAACGGATCAGATACGGTCAGAAACTAGCTCTATCATATTCGTTTTCACATTTTTTTTAAATCGGAATCGGAATCGGAAACCCGGATATGAAAACGAAATCGAATATTGTCGGATACAGATATGGTGCGAATACGAAGCGAAACGAATAAGGTGACGAATATTAATCGGAACATAAAAACCCCTCAAACTAAGCATCACAACTCAAAAAAGAAATATAACCCGTTATTTTTTCTAATATAACATATCAACTTTTCCAAATTTTAGTGTTAATAATTTTGTTATATCCGATTTTGTGGTTGAGGGAGAACGATTCAATAGTTTATCGCACTCATATGGGCGTCTTAAGGAGCTGTATGTGAAAATAATATTTAAAACTAGTTTATCGCACTCATATGAACACTAAATTGGATGATTCTTTTTCATAAATATTTCTAAAATCATGCTCTAACGTGTTATTGTGTTCTTACTGCTATTATTTTGGCCATAGTTTCTTGTGACTTTGTTTTATCAATTTAAAATTTGAATTTCAAAAAATAGCAACTTCAGATAATATTTTGAAGCAGTAAATAATTTTAGCTGAAAAAGTCATGAACATAAGAGTTGTAGAATTCATCAAAAGCTACAACTTTTATTTTGGTCATTTCTTCATCCGATAAAGGGATAGTAACATTGTTCACAGAATTTATATATCTCTCTTACAGCTTATGAAACCATATGTGTGATATGTACATTTTGTAAACAATGTTACTATCGCTTTGTCGGATGAACAAATGACTAAAATAAAAGTTATAGATCTTGATGAGTTATATAACTTTGTTCTTGATGACTTTTTCAGTTGAAATCATTCAATATTTGAAAATATTGTTTGAAGTTATCATATTTTAAAATTCAAATTCAAATTGTTTAAACAAAGTAATATATTTGAAAAATGACCCAAACAAAAGTTGTTGATCTTGATGCGTTGTACAACTTTGTTGTTGACAATT